AAAAAAAAAAAAAATGGACCTGTCGGGGAAGACAATTTCCATTCAATCTAAATGTAATGTAATCACACAACAAACAGTCTTGTAATGATGGAAACCCCAGGTCTGAAAAACTACCCCTCAAGTACGAAATCCAGGCTGCTGCCTGTTTTTCTTTTGTAGCCTGTGAATTAAGAATGGCTTTTAGACATTTAAATACCTGGAAAAACCCGAAAGAATATTTTATGGTTCACACAAATGAACATAAATTAAATTTCAGTGTCCACAAATAAACAAACTCGTATCAGAACACATACGTACACACAAGATCAGTTTCCCAAAGCAGACTTCTCACTGAAAGTAGCTTTTTGCTCAGTTTTTCAACTCAAGTGGAATACAGCAACCTCAGCCACCACCAGATTTCCTGTCCCTAGCCTGCTCTTTACCTCCTGTATTCCCTCCGGTCTTTTAGATGTCCTAGTGCTCAGTTATGCTGAGTGGCTGGATTTCTTTGTTCCTTATTTTATAGATTATTGGTATAGTTTGTGGGTGTGCTTTAATTTTGTTCAATCTGCCATATCGAAACGTCATTTTAACACTGATTTCAAGTGATTTCCCACTTTTAGGGTTGTGATGCAAGTGAGACCTTTCATCTGTATGCATCTATACATGTGGACTACATTAGATCCAAGGGGAAATTTTTGTTGAGACTTGATGGCTTTTATGTATCTTTTTGACATGTTAAATTTTGAAGTAAGAGTTTAATTGCATTGCATTATAAATCCTTCCCAGAATGAGGTAGATAGTAATTGCACTTTTACTTTGGAATTCAAATGCCTTTTAACATAGGACCTCATTATATTAATAATCGTCTCTTTAAGAGCTCACGATTTTTTTTTTTTTCGAACAAGGTTGAAAGAGCTTTATAAAAGGAGGGAGAGGATGCAAACCTAGTTCAGGGGAGCTATGTCAGAGAAGTTAGGGCTCTCCTGCACTCCTCTAACCACCTTCTAAGAAAGGCTGCTGTTTAATATGCAGGTGACCAGGAAAGTATCCCATTATTGTTCAATGACATTTTTTTCCGTGAGATTTTGGGATTCCAGGTCACTTTGCTAATCTGTAGAAAGCAGTGAAAAATGCACATACAGACAGACACACTGAATTTAGCATAAAATTTCAGGGAGTTAAGGATTGTTGAATTTACTTGAAGAGCCATTTGAACCTATTTAAAATATTTGAAAGATCTCTATCCTCTGGCAGCCGATGTGTTTTCACAGGGCAAACTGGTTAACATTCTCTTTAAATGACACTTCCTTAAGGGATTTGAGTTGTAGCAGATGCTTGTGAATCAAGGCATAGAGAAAAGAAACGAACAGAAAATACATAAAATAAATTGTCAAGCACCTGTATAAAACTCCCAACACACAGACATTCCTACCTAAAAAGGTGCACGGCTATACCCATATTGCTTCCCCTGCGTGTGGGAAGCTGGTCACGTGGCTGAGGCAATATATCAGTCTGCATCTTATTAACCTAGACTAAATAATATACAATATTCTCCAGTTGGAAAACTCCAGCAATAACACTATCCATCTTTAGGTTTTTAACATGATAAAGCCAGCATTTCTGTGTTCTTTCAGAGTACATTTTTCCCGAGGGAAATGGGATTGTGTGTGTGTGTGTGTGTGTGTGTGTGTGTATGTGTGTGTGTGTGCGTGTTGCTCTCCCTGTAGCAAGCACATTTGACATCCAGTTTCAGAAACTGTCCTTGGTGTCTAAGCCATGTTTATCTCTAGCGAAAACAGCCATGCTTCTGTTTAATATCTTTGCCTAGTAGCTTTCATAGTTGTCACTAAATATTTCAAGCCACATTTAAATTTCTTGGCTCATTACATGTCACACCAAACTGACCTGTTGGTAACCTTACATGTTCCATAAAAATATATTAAGAACTTTAAGTTTCTGTCAAGCAATATATCACATGTGTCAAAATGTAATTCTCAAAATGATACACACAATTGTTGCACAAATAGGTACTGAGCACGTGTCAAGATTTCATTTGGGGCAATCAGCAAAGCCGGTTCAGAAAAGAGATAAATATCTCTGTATCCACAGCTCCGTATATATATCCATATCCATATCCATATATATTTATAGCTGTATCCGTAGCTATATCAATCCTATATACATACATATAAATTTTGGTATTACACCTGAGACCAGTGTTTTCTTTATCAAGTTATTTTTTTTTTTTTTTTAATTTTTTTTTTCAACATTTATTTATTTTTGGGACAGAGAGAGACAGAGCATGAATGGGGGAGGAGCAGAGAGAGAGGGAGACACAGAATCGGAAACAGGCTCTAGGCTCTGAGCCATCAGCCCAGAGCCTGACGCGGGGCTCAAACTCACGGACCGCGAGATCGTGACCTGGCTGAAGTCGGACGCTTAACCGACTGCGCCACCCAGGCGCCCCTCAAGTTATTAATTTAATTTGCAGAATCCATTCATATTAAAAATTCCATGTACCCAAGGTTTCTAATAATAAAATGGATCCCTCTTGTTAGGCCTGTGCTTTTAAACCTTTAGTGTATATCAGTTTCACCTGAAAGATTGCTGGCTTCCACTCCCAGAGTTTCTGTAACTCTAGGTGGTGCCAGGGAATTTGTATTTCTAACAGGTTTCCAGTGGCTGCTGCTGTTCCACAGTTCACACTTGGAGAACCGCTGATCCAAGCACAGGCTTTGCCTGAGGATCAAGTGAGGCCTCAGGGACTGTTGGTCAAAACCCCAAGGAAATCAATGCAACCTCCGATTGGTTCTCTTATTGTCCCTCTTACATTATCCCCATTTCCTTCTCCTGCCCCGCTCAGTGCACACCAGATCATCCACACCCAGCTGCACCCCAGGGATGCTCCCTATATTGGAGCATCTCAAATCCTAATGTGGGTCAAACTCCCAATGCCTTCTCCACAGAGATCTAGCCTCCCTCCTCATTTGTCCTCTTTCTGTCAGTGATTTCAATTTCATGATGAGCCAGGGATAGAATGCTCCAAATCATGTATTGTAAACTAGAATGTGCTTTTTATTTTTAAATTATCATTGACAAGAGTTTCTCTTAGAGGAGATTTTTAGTGTTTGAAAGTTTGGAATCATAAAGAGATAATCCCTTCTGCTTTCAATCTGCCAGTTCCCTAGTCTGTTCCTCTGTGATGTGGCCTTAATTCCTTGTAAGAAATAAAAGCTTCAGAGATATTCAGAAGCTTGGGAACTGACAGTAGTATTAAATCAGGAAGGATGCTAGCCCTGGTGATCTCTTGGAAGGGCAGCTTTCAAAGAATGTCTCATCAGAAGCTAGCCTTCTAGAGATTGGGCCAAAATGGTTAAGAGATAGCTGGAGGCAGGAGTTACTAAAAGCCTGAGTCAGGAGTTTGGCAGGGCAAGGAAGGAAAGATTAATTTTCAAAAGCTATAACAGGATCATTTAAAGGAATTTGTTTTGGAGAGGGGGAACCATTGAAAGAAAAGTTAGTGAATTTCTGGGTAGCGGAGAGGGTTTCATTAAGAATACAGAACTAAGTTCGAAAGGAAAGAAGAAGGTAATCTGGAGAGTAGATGAAGTGGTTAGCTTTGAACAGGAAAAAAATCTTTTTGTCTAAGCCTAGAGGGAAGAATATGGTTCTCAGATGGCTTTGAGATCACACATGAGAGGGAGGGAGGACCAGGCATCTGAGAAAGCGAGAAAGCTAGAGAATGCCAAGGTGGATGAGTATGTCGTTGGCTAAGTCAGTGTTGGACAGATGATATTGTCATCAGCCAGCCTGGTAAAACTTTTTTCCTCCTTGTCCACTACTCTGCAGGTTCAGTGGGATAAGGCTGAGGTAATAATGGCCTCAACATATGCATTGATTTTCTTTGCTTTCATGCAGACAAATTGTCCTGTGTTATAGATGCTACTCTAGTTACAAGGAGATTCAATACTGCATATGGATGGCCTCTTGTGTTTCTTAGATGCTATAAGTCCATTCTCACCAGGAGATGAGGCTCAATTCTTTCCCATTTTGTTACACGCGTAACCCAAGTGTAAATGGCAGCCAGCTGCCGCTAGCTCCTCAGTTTCACAAAGGGAAAGAAATTCCCTAAAGGAGGTAAATGTCCCCAGTTATATCACTTACGGATGCTTAACAGAACAGTTGAAAACTTCTTGCATGGTTTTTAAAATGGTTTTGATGTTTATTTTTGAGAGAGAGACAGAGACAGAACACGAATGGGGGAGAAGCAGAGAGAGAGACACACACAGAATCCAAAGCAGGCTCCAGGCTCCGAGCTGCTAGCACAGAGCCTGACGCGGGGCTCGAACCCACGAACCGTGAGATCATGACCTGAGCTGAAGTCGGATGCTTAACCGACTGAGCCACCCAGGCGCCCCTTCCTGGATGTTTAATGTGAGAGTTGTTTTAAAGGTTCTATTGAAGTAATTTATTTCAAAGCAGAGCCTCTCTTTCTAGTAAAAATATGATTTGGTCTCTCACCAGTATTTGGTTTAGGACAGGATGCTCACTCCTACAAGTAGTTGATATGATACAGTGGTTAAATCCCTCAGGTTATTCATATGGAGTCAGGAGGATATATGTGTCTCTTTCCAGGACCACGAAACCTCCTTTCCCAGGGCACTCTCAGCCCAGAGACTTTCCCCGCGGTGGTGCTTTCTAGATGGTGAGTGTTTCTATATTTCATGGAGTGGTGGGATGGTGGAAGCAGCAGGACAATGCGTTGATAGATGGAGTGGATGGGCCCTAGTTTTCCAAGGGATTATTCAGAAACCCTTCACGTGGCCCTACAGGGTTGGCATTTGCATCCCAAACGATGTGTTGCCACACACTTTCCTGAAGTCATTTTTCTCAAAGAAAATTGGTGAGCTTGGGCTGAACTTCACAGCACCAAATTTCCCTCTCAGTGCACCTCCCCCCCCGCCTTTTTCCAAAAAGATGTTGAATGCTTATCTTAAATTCAGACCAGTAGATGGATCCAGTACATAGGTACTAATTCCTCTGTTGTTTGCTTATGGTGGAACTTCCATATATTTTCATTAGCCATCATTTCAGTAAGATGTATACATTTTTACAAAAATGTAGAAATTCTCTGTTCCATTCAGATCTGTGCCTCTGAGCATGACCTATTGAATGCATAATATTTTCGTTATTTTCCGATCAGTTAATGGGTCCATTTTACATCGCAAGCATCACTTACTCCCTAGATGCTGCTTAACCCTGCTTTTCTATCCAGTTACCCGTATAACAGTACACTTCCTGCTTACAGCGTATCTACTACTCAGTATCTCTCTTGTCTGCGTGGACATGTGTTTTTCACTGTAGACATTTCTTTAGTTGATCTGTATATGCATCAGAGAGGATATAAATGTGGACAAGAGTGTGACAGGGTGTGTGAGTGATCTAACCCGTGTGAAGCATGACATAGGTTTTCATTAATAGCTTGTCAGCTGCCTCTGAAGATAATTTCTACTACTTCTCCTCCAGCTCCTTTATTCCCTTGTGATGAGAAGCACAATCATTTGTTTTTCCTGAATCTACAAACAACTTATATTTGAGAAAATTTTTGAAAATGTCTGTGAATTGTTCTATATCCAGTCTATTCCATATACATTCTTAGATGAAATTGTAAGTGTGGGTGGTAGTGTTAACCCAGATATTAGTTAAATTCCATAGATAAAAATCCTTTAAAAAGTGATCACATTCATGGTTGCAAAGAACAAAGTAAAGCAAGTCTTTCTCAGATAGATTTTACTCCCATGTTGCTTTTAAGGGGCAGCAACCATGATTATCTTGTTTCTTAGCTCATTTCCTTTGGAGAGAAGCTACTCATTAAATATTTATGATTTTTGAATGGTTATTTGCATTTTGAGTTATTCCCTTGAGTACTATGTACTTTGTAGAAAATCTATTTGTAATATATAGAATCTGTTAGATAGATTTCGGTGAGGAGGAACATAATTCTTCGGAGTATTAAGAATAATCAGAATAGTTTCTAGAAACCCAAAGTTTGCAAGTTTTTCCCTCAAACCACAGATGCAGCCCAGTCCCTTTTAGGAATGGTTAAATAATTATTTTTACTGTTTTGGCTTTCTTTAGACATGGCTTAGGGGACTCGGTCTTGAAGTGAAATGAATCCTTTAATACCAGATGTGGTCCCTGGCTCAGCATCTTCAAGATTTTTTTTCAAAATGAGAACCACTTCCTTGGAAAGTCTGGCTACTGAACATTTTTCCCCCCTAACTTCATTTACTTAATAAATACGTACCAAGTCTCAGCTCTGTTTAAGGTCTTGTGCTAATGTCTGGAGACATAAAAAAGTCAATGAAACACAGACCTTTAAAGAGGCAGATATCTCATAGTTATTTGTGAAGATAGATAGTTTCTGTAAGAAGTATAAACACAATGTAAATATGCATAAAGGCAGGAACAAAGAATTCTGTCTGGGGTAGGGAGGATGGGATTGAGGAATGTTTCACAGAGGAGGCAGCACATAAATTGGTCCTTAAGAGACAAGTAAGATTAGCGGCGGGGGAAGAGGGGAGGAGACAGAACGGGGGAAGGGCATAGCAGTAGCAGACAGGGAAATCCTAAGTTTTTCTAAATAGATTTAGGAACTGGCTGGTGGTCCGGCATGGTTGGAATATAAAGCTTTTGAGTGGCATACTGGCAGAGAAGGTTGTACATCTGATGCCAGGTCACAGGACTCTGAATGCTGTGTACATTTTTTTTTTTTCTAGCAACTTCTGCTGATCGCTTTTACCGAATAGACAGATCTCAGGTAAGCTTTCTTGAGCCTATCTGTGAAAGCGAAAAACTCCCACATAAATATACTTTATTGGTGGCTAATCTTAGAATTTTTTATAATGTAAACACTAAAACATTTACAAATCCTGGAATGGTACTCATGGACTGAGCTATGAGCTTTTTATTTGTCTTCACACGTTTTGTGATTTGTGGACTCAAGATGATGTTGCTTGACCTTGCGAATGAGTACAGTAAATAACTAGGCTTGTAGATACTATCACCAGCCTGCACTCCAAATTTTCTCTCACACAGCTACTTTTACTACTTCCTAGCCCAATTTTATGGCATTTTAAATTTATTTTAGTTAGCAAGCTTGACACCTCAAGTGTATGTTCATGCTACCTACTTGGAGCTCATCAATTCCCAGAGTTCCATAATGAGACAAAAAAATGCTCGTGCCCAATGATAATAAGTGTTCCCACTGTCCAAATTCTCCTGAAAAAATAGAAGAAGAAGAAAATACGGTATGGAATCCAGTGATACAATCAGTTGTTAATCATGCCACTTGGCTTTGGCCAGGTCCTGGGGATCCAGGTTCAGCTCATTGCACAACTCATGCTGGACCAAGCTGCATGTGGGGTGTTGCTTCTTTGATGATGTTTGGGAAGAAGAGGCAAGACCATCCTTGGTGGTACCTGACAGGATCCTGGTCAAGTAGGAACCCCAAACCAAGAGGGATTCAGCTCTTCCCCTCACCAGCCTCTTGCTACAGTGTTGCTTCAGGGACGGATGTCCGCTGATTGGACCTCTGAAAACACAGTGTGGTCGTTTGATATGTCATAGACTTCCATTATATCCTCAAGACCAAGAATGCTTTGTTCTGTTACTTATCAGATGACAGGTTTGAGTGTCCTGTCCATCATCTGACAGACTTCTTTTTTCTTGCCTAAGGAACATTTGCACTTTGTGATGGAGATTTCCCAAGATGAGATTTTTATTCTGGACCCCGATATGGTATTGTCACAGCAGGCAGGGACACCTCCCGGAATGCCTGACCTGGTGGTGGAGCAAGCCTCAGGGTGAGTGTGCTGCTTCTTTGGCGATGTGATGGTGAGGGGAGGCTGGCCACAGGGTGGCATCCGTGTCTGACTTGGCTTTGCACTTGACATGTCTAATGACCTCAAACTATTTTAAAACAGAGGTTTTCTTGTTGGGTTTCATTAGAGTGTTCCATGGCTGGTCTGTATCATGCATAGCTGTGTAGAACTACCCTTGCCCACCACAATTTGCACCATGTTTGAGCCTTCTTTATTCACCACATGCACACTTTTTGCCAAACTATGAAATACTAGTATTTGCATTTCTGTGCATACATCTATAATGCTTGTATGATCCAAATGAAAACGGGCGCAGGTGGTTTGACGGTTATTTTTCTCCTCCGCCTCTTCCTCCTCCCCCTTTTTTGGGCTATATCCAGGCAGCCTGAGGCCTATCGATTGTATAACAATAGCTATGATACATGAGGCACTTACTATGAGCCACATGCTGTCCTCAATGCCTTTCTTAAATCCCTACCACCACTTTATAGTGACCTAATCATCAGAAGGACTCTGTGCTTATTTCCCGATCTGTAAAATGGAAATAAAACCTGCTCATAGAATTGTTTGAAAATTAAATAAGTTGATACATGTGAAGTATTGAGGATGGTTCTTGAAACTTGGTAGACACTCATTAAATATGATGTTATTGAAATAATCGTCATCATCACCGTCATGCCACAATGCCCTGCAGATCTGGTACTATTATTATCCTAAACCCTTAGATAACAAAATTGAGGCTTAGAGGGTTTTTGTAACTTTGCCCGTATTGCACAGAAAATAAATGGCAAAATTGAGATTGGGTCACAGGTTTTATTGCTAACGTGCATGCATGGAACCACCAAGATATTGTTAATATTTCTAGCGTACTTCAGCAATTCCAAAATATTTATTTATAGAGCTCTTTATGTGCCAGTACTAGTAGAAGCACGTAGGAAACAACAGAGCAGAAATAAAAATTTGAAAAATCTCTGCCCTTGCAAAGAATGAACTTCAACAACGTGCTGGTACATGGAGGCCAAATAGTTAAAATAAGAATTTCCCTGGAAAGCACACACACATGCACTCAAATAGCATTTGCATGTTGTACACACACACACACACACACACACACACATATATATAAGATGCTTAATAAGCAGACAAGTTACTCCCCTGCACTAATTCATTTGACCATTGCTGTTATTTCTGAGTATCGTCCAGTCTGCCAGGGGCAGCTGATACCAGTGGGATGTATCAAGTCAAGAGAAGACAGAAGTGGCAGGAGAGGGCAGATGTACAGCCGTGTTAGGAAGCCAGAGCCAGTGGTATCAGATACACGTCCCTGGGTGTCCCACAAGGGGCTAGAGATGCCCATCTCCACGGTGCCTGTACTGTAAATCCAGCCTGTCAGCTGTGGGGAAAGCAAGTGAGGAGATGCTGGGTCCTCCTGCAGTAGCAGTGGGCACTATAGTTTAGGTGTCCTCTCATCCACCCGTCCTGATCTAGGCCACAGTCTTCAGTCTGGTAGAGTGAACCAATTCTGCCATGCCCACCCCGGTCTTGGCCTTCTCAGTCATTCTCTCAATGTCAGATAACGGCCGAAAGAAATGGCTTAGTCCTCGGCTGGGCCTCTCTGTTAGCCTTACCTCCAAAAACAAAGGAGCCTGAAAATCCACCAGAACTTGAATCAGTGTTGCCCTTCCGGAAATGAACTAGGACAGGAAAGCCGTGAAACAGGGTGGGCTTTGTTCTTTCCTAATTTGCATTTCTACATCAGGCTCTATTTTTTCTTCTTTGACGTCACATTTAAAATTCCTTATTCTTGAAATGCAATTTTCTCGTCTGTAAAGAGGGCAGAAACATACAGAATAGTTCAAGACAGTTGAGAAAATGAAATAATAGATGTGAAGAAGTAACTAGTAAATACCCAATCAAGAGGCCTCTCCCATCTCCTGTTGAGAGGAGAATCCTCTTGAGGAAGAGCAGAGCGAATCCTGTGGCTGAGTTTGAGTGCCTAAATGCCTGGTGCCCTTCTTCCCCCCAGAGTGGCAGACTGGTGGAACCCTGCCCTACGGAAACGCATGCTGAGCGACAGCGGGCTGGGAATGATTACTCCGCATTATGAAGACTCAGATTTGAGGGACCTCAGCCACTCCCGTGTGCTACAGTAAGGGCTCTCTCTCCTTTCTTTCCCTGCGCGCCCCTGTGATGGCTGGGAGGGATTACTGGCTGTCTCAACAGTGGCAACTGTTCTCTTTTCCTTGGTGCTTCTCCTGTCCCCGGTGGCAACCTGTGCTCCCACCTTTAGTCACTTTGCTGACTTGTCCCAACCCCAAGCTCCCGGTGGAGCTTCACTTCCCGTTTCTGTAGCTCCTGAGCCACACTGAGACCTGGCACGTGTGTCTATAAATACTATGAACCTCACCAGTGTTTGCTTTACTGCAGTCCGGGGTGTACTAGGTGTTCCTGTGTTTGCACGTCACGAAGACATGCATGAGAGAGATCATGAGCAGATTGGAAGTGGTGTATACGTTCTTCACTTGTGTGAACGGTTCCACTTGCTGTGATGACGCTCATTCGTTTGTCTCCAGTCCTGAGCCTCTGGAGGTGTGCTCTGTGTAGCATAGCCAGGTGGTTGTGTTGGCCAACGTGGAGCTGCTCAAGGTTGTGGTTTCAGAGTCTCTGGGCAAACGATGCAGCATTTGTTCATAGATGAGAGTGGTAGGTGTGCTTTCTTCTGGGGTCTCATCACGGCCAGAAAGGAGGGTGACTGTTGGAGTTTTGCGACAGTGTTGGCACATTTATGTCTGGGGAGGCTTTTCTCCCTGTCTTACCTCCTTGCAGGAAGAGATTAACGGACACAGTCTTTCACGCCTCAGGACAGTCACTTACCTCAGGGGTTATGCGAATTTGCTGCAATTCATGATTAGGCCGGTTTCCAATCCTATCCAAGATCCTAATTGAATAGGGACAATGGCCGTGTTACCATGTAGTCTTACAAACATTTTTACCAAGTAAAGAGAGTAAGATTCTTAGAAGCCTAGGGTTCAGTGAAGAGGGATTGTTTCTGAAGGAAGACCGCAACCATTTTGGTATGACACAGAGGGAAAAAAGTGAGAAATCTGGAACTAATTACTTCATTGGTGAAGGTTCTACTCAGACATCCCAGGGGCAAAAGGCGACTCCATTTTCATTGCTTCTCTGTACTACCTCTTTTGTTGTGTGAAGAGCAGAAAGGAAAACATGAATCACTACGGATTTTCCTTTTTAATCAAACCATATAGTTAGGTTTTGATCGCATTTTAATTGCTTACAACTCAGCGTATTTTTCCATTTCTTTTTTATATGGAATTGAGGCTTGCGAACCACAATGAGTCAGCTATCCATTGATGGCGAAAAACGTGGCCATGTAGCTGCAGGCAGATTTATTTGAAAATTAGAGGTTATTTAGCCACAGAAATAGAAACTGTGCCTCGACAAACCAGATGAATATCGTAGTTGTTCTTATATACAGGCTGTTTCCAAAAAAGTAGAGTATGTACTCACTCTCACTTGGGTTTCCTATACCCTGATTTTTCTATATGGAATATATTAAACTATGTATCTTGATATGTGAAGTGATTGTTCCTAAGGTAGTAAATGTTCTTCCCAAATCAAAAATAAACGTACCACTTTATATAATAGCCAAGTTCTTAAAGCCCTGTACAAAAGTCAACTCTTATTCGTTATTCGGGTTATAGTATCCTTTCAGAGATTTCTCTTAATTTTTTTATTGATCTTCACTTGGCTGCTGCCATTTGTTCTGGTCGTTTATGTGACCTGGGCTCTCCAGTGCACGAGAGCAGCTAACTACATTTTTTTTTTTTCTGCCGAATCACCCGGAAAGCAAAGCCATATTCAAACACTCACCCCTAGCCTTTGAGTCTGTCTAACTGAACCTCCAGATATGGAGCAGACACAAGTTATCACTCCTGGGTTCCCTGTGCATCTCTGACTCAGAGAATATAGGAGTATAACAAAAATGGTTGTTTTAAATCACTAAAAAAAAGGTAAATCCTGTACCCTACCCGATTTTGCCTATTCATTCTTCAAATTTTTTGTTATTCTTATGTCCATTAATTCCTTAGGAAGAACATCTCTTTATTTCCTTCATAGATCATCTCTGATGCAAAGAAGTATAATTGCAGTTATAGAATAATTCAATTATATAATACATAGATATTATATACCATGTTAGTAACAGTTGGTATTGGTAGAATGTCTTCCTCTTGCTTTGTGCCACAGCTAAATTATCTTCAATTCTTTTTTTAAAAGTTTATTTATTTATTTTGAAAGACAGAGAGTGTTAGAGAGGGGCAGACAGAGGTAGAGAGAGAATCCCAAGCAGGCTCTATGTTGTCAGCGTAGAGCCCAATGCGGGGTTCTAGCTCACGAACCCTGAGATCATGACCTGAGCCCAAATCAGGAGTCAGATGCTCAAGGACTGAGTCACCTGGGGGCCCCTGTCTTTAGTTCTTCTAATGCCTTTTACATCTTACCATTGTTTAACAGATAAGTAAACTGAGGCTTAAGGAGATTAAAAGATTCATCTTGGTGGGGCACCTGGATGGCTCAGGCCTTTGAGTGTGGAAGTTGAATGGAAATTGTGGTTTAAGTCAGGTTGGCTAGACTTCTGACTTCATGCTTTTTCTGACCATACTATACTATCTTCCCCAAGGGCTGGTGCAGAGGCATTGCGCCCAGAGCCCCGTGGCCCAAGAAAGGTTTATTTTGGTCTCTACATATGCAAATATACATAGGCAAATAGTCTCCCTATTTAGAGTTTTCACTTTATATGTATTATTATATATATATTTATATTATTATATGTATTTAGCTCAAATTAACCCAGAAGTAAATATGGTTGAGAATGAATTTTAAAGCAATTTTATTGCATTTATTTATTTATTTATTCATTTAATATAAGGAGATTCTTTTAAAAAATTTTTTTAAATGTTTATTTTATTTATTTATTTATTTTTTGAGAGAGAGAGAAACAGAGCACAAGCAGGGGAGGGGCAGAGAGAGACAGAAACACAGAATTGGATGCAGGCTTCAGACTCTGAGCTGTCAGCACAGAGCCCGACATGGGGCTCAAATTTGTGAGCGGTGAGATCCTGACCTGAGCCAAGGTCAGATGCTTAACTGACTGAGCCACCCAGGTGCCCCTGTTTTATTGCTTTTAAAAAAGATTGCAATTTTAAAAAATGACAGACTTACATTTAAAAAATAATTAAATATATATTACATTTGCCTCAGTCTAAATAAGTATAAAAATTATATGAAAGGTACTCATGTGCCAAAGAGCCTGAAATGTTATGTTGTTGTATGTTATTATTTTCATTAGGTCTTTCAGCCCACAAACAATATACAGTAGCATCAAGGCATATATTGTTTTATGGACTTCTTTGTTTGTATTATCTTTTCACTTTTCATTACCTGTATTTTACAATGCATACACTTTTCACACTTGCCATTTCATTCAATGTCCTATTTTTAAACTTTGTTCATATTGATACATGTGGTTTTTGATTAACTTTATTTAATATAGAATACTGCATCATGAATATCCCAAAACTTATTTCTCCATTTTGGTAGTGATTTCTAATATTTTATTATTTAAACAATGCAGTGAATATCCTGCAGCATGTGTCCTGTGTGGCAGGGTGTATGTATATATGCAGTTTCGACTTGGCTTGATGTTTCCATGAAGAATATTAAAAATAAGTATGTAAAAAAAGTCCTGAGGAATTATTGTAATATTTTGGGTACAACTGACATCTGTTGCTTTCATCTTTGAAGCCCCAGTCAGCTCGGAGCTAGGAAAAGTCCAAATTTAACATCGTGTTCACAATATTAAAAAACCCACTATGTAAATAAATCAAAAGGGAAATTTTAAATGCTTAGAACTGAAAATGCTATCAAGAGTTTGCAGAAACAACTAAAGCCTTAGTCACAGAGTGATTTATGACTCTAAATTCACTTATCGAAGGAAAAAATGATTCATACAAATAAAGCATTCAGTTTGATAAACTGAATCCCAGAATAGAAAACAAAGAAACAAGGGGGAAGAATAATAATAAAGACAAAAATGAATGACAAGGAGAATGGAACAAAGAAATGATTAACCAAGACTAAAATGTTATAATATCGATTCTTTAAAAAGGTAGAGAAGAGACAAAATTCTGAGAAGACTGACTTTAAAAATAATAAGTATGGAAAACTGGAAGGAATGTAACTATATGCTTTCTCAGCTCATTCTTCCTCAGGGACACCCAGTCTGCACCTGCTCAAGGTGACCCTCTCCCCTCCACCCTCCAAATGGCCCACCCCCCGGGATCTCCTTAGAGTTGTCTCGTAGTTTTAACTTTGGTTTCTAAGATCCATCAACCTCCCTCCTACTTCAGGGAGAGTGAGATGGAATGGACAAATAGAATGAACTAGATTTTTATTATTACTGGAACTGGTTACATTTATATTATAATTCCATTAAGAAACACCTTATACATTTTTAAAGAAGGGGTGTGTGTGTGTGTGTGTGTGTGTGTGTGTGTGTGTGTGTTGTCCACTTATACACAGGTCCCTTAGGAGAGACTATAATTACAAACAAGTATGTACAACACATATAGGGTCTTCAAAACCTATGAACATAGTCAAAAACAATCTTTAAGAACCAATTTTGAGATAAATTGGTGAGAGGTGGTTGACCACATTATTATTTCTTGAACTGCAATGAATTTGTCTTTAAGTTCAAAAAATGTTTTCAGTGTCTAAGAAAGCTCTACTTAAAATAACATGATCCTGGAAATACTTTTGCTCTTATCATTAATTATACCACCACAACTAGTGACAAGGCTATTTTTCATTTTGGCAGATTTGTAAGGAAGGAATTTAACTGAAATTTTAGCAAACAGAATCTCAGTCCTAAGGAAGACTTTTCCCGACTCCAGGATCTATGATACTTCAAAAAGAAAAAAAAAAAAAAAAAAAAAAAAAAAAAAGAAAAAAAAAAGCACTGAATGAAAACTCTAGTATATTCTCAACAAGTTATTTTTTGAGAAGGACAGACTTAACCTGAGTCAGACGGGTTAAGGGAAAACAGGTAAAGGACTTGGGAGGAATTTAATT